TTAAAGAAAACATGTAGTTTGCAGTTTTAACAAAGTAAATCTATTATTTATGAACAGTTGCATTGAAACTCCAACGCGAGAGCAATGTTTTCACGAAATAATGTGGAAAATTTTAAGTTTGTCTTGAAAGGAAAATATTTGTAAAACTTTAAGTTTCCAAACTGTTTTTACATATTTAACCAGTTTAAAATCAGAAATAAAAAAAACATCTGATACTAAATAATTTTGCAAATCGGCTCTTTTCAAAAATTTTGTGATTTTAATCCTCAGCATGGATGCCTATTAAATGCAAAACAACATTTTGATTAAACCCAGCCGTTTCTTCATTTTGGATCAACATTACTGACCTATGATTCCCGATACAAAGGGACATTAAGTTACTTTACGTCCCTAGGGACAATTAAGTAAAATAACTACCCGCTCTGAAAAGTTTTCTATAAAAATGTTCGGATTAAATTTTTTACTTACCCACGGGATCCCTCGGAGTAAGTAAAATTCCTTTAAATTCCCTTAAAGTAGTTGTAAATAATTATTATTAGGAACAGATAACAGGGTGTCTCAATAATCATTGGAATTGTGTGATTATTTCGATATCGTCTTTAGCTAATGATTCTTTTATTTAGTATAATTATACCTGTAGGATTTTCGAATGCTATGTTTAGAATTTGTTTGTTTATGCTTTTATTGCATATGTACGGTTGTACAAGTAATAAAACAAGAAAATATCAGATTACAAAACTGTAAACTTTTCCGTTTTCACTATATTTCTTGCAGACCATTACAGCCTTTTATAGTTTTCACAAAAATAAACTTTAGCAGAAATCATTATCATTATCTTATGCCTTTGAAATCAGGTATTACAATGCTAATTCTTAATTAAGACGATTTCGAATTTGTTTATTGGGACACCCTGTAGAAAGATGTTTCTATACTGGGTTAGAGGTCAGTTAATGTCAATAATCAATCATTCCTTGGTGACACGATTAGAAAATAAAGGAATAAAGGGAAAAAAATTTGTAGGACTTGTATTTTATTTACTGTAGAGATAATTCAATCTTACTGTCTTTATTCATTTCTCCTGATTTCTGCAAAACTGTAAATAATTACCACCAAGAATGTAAGGCAGGGAAAGTCAATTGCGGTTGTGTATACTCTGTGTACATATTGAAACCAGTTCTCTTTGGGGGGAATTTGTAAACAATAAAAGATGCATCAGTGTTTGTTAAGTATCCGAGGAGGTTAAAAGCATTAAATTTTGATAATTTTGATAATTCACATAATAGTTTCCTATTACCAGAATATTTCATTGATTTTTTATGTGAATGATGGATCCCATGTCAGGCTTCGACATCCGTCTTGTGTTTACATTAGCGCCCAGAGACAGTACACTGCAGTACTAAAAATGTGTACACTTCTGAAATGACTTTCCTTGCCTTACATCCTTGATTACCACCAAATTCTTAATAATAATCTTATTTATTATTAATCATGTTCTGCAATGAATGCACCGAGCCTCGATGTTCGACCAATGCATATTTTTTGGAAATCGTTTAAAGGTACTGTTAGCGTAATTTCAAGTAATCCTCCAGACAAAAAAGGTAATTCCTGATTTACAACCTTCGTGTGTTAGTCGAGTAGATATTTGTGTGTTAACTTATCGAAACCTGCTAGTATTCGACTGTAAAGTCTGGTGTGGACTGTGTACAGTTTGTACTATGGGAGGTTCGCTTGAAATTACGCTTACAGTCCCTTTAAATCTCTGATTTATCAATTTAAACAAATCATGCTTTAATCCTAAAATTCTGTAATCCGTATTTTTGGCACCTTACTTCCTAGGCATATTTTGTTAGATGTTGCCAGGGCTAATTCGTCAAAGCAATCCAAGATGAAAAGTTAGAAAACAGAACTCGGCCCTAATTTTTATTCTCTCAGAAGAGTTTACAAGTAAAGGAAGTGGACACTTGTACAAACTTTAATTCTATTTTAAAGTTAGTAAGACAAGCAATTGTAGGATGTTATCAGTATAAACTTTACGGAAGGTATTGGCTTATAAATTATAAATAATACAGGGAAAACTAAGCCCCCCTTCCCCCGGAAAAAGTTCATGCATTTCAGTAAGGTGTTGTACTAATTTCTCTATTTCAGTAAGGTGTTGTACTAATTTCTCTATTTATTTCAGTAAGGTGTTGTACTAATTTCTCTATTTATTTCAGTAAGGTGTTGTACTAATTTCTCTATTTATTTCAGTAAGGTGTTGGACTAATTTCTCTATTTATTTCAGTTAGGTGTTGGACTAATTTCTCTATTTATTTCAGTAAGGTGCTGGACTAATTTCTCTATTTCAGTAAGGTGTTGGACTAATTTCTCTATTTATTTGCCCCAGATCTTGAAGCATTTACATAATTTGAATAATATATTCCACTAGTTTACACAATTAACAAATACTTCCAAAGCCAAAGCCTAAAACTCAAGAAGTTGCCCATTTTGAAACCAGGACATTAGAAACCCATGGGTTAAGGTTAATTTACTTTGTGACCTCGTAACTCCTTTAGTCTTAATTTTACGCAGAAGTGAGAGAGAAAAAATGTTCGGTTAAATATTTTAATTAAATTAAAATTATTTTTGTTATTCTCAATAGCTCTTTAATAAAATAAGTTATGATTGAAAATATATAAACTTTAGTTTAGCGTGGTAATGCACAAACCAGAATTTATTCAGATGTTTTAGATAAGTTTTCTAGCGTATACTATTTAAACCAACTCATTACTGTATGTTAGCCGCAGAGATTTGTTTTTATGGCCTTGCAAGATAATAAACAAAAAACTTAAGCCTCTTAAATTATAAAACTTTTTTTCAAAACAAAGCATACTTTCAATAAAAAGTACAGTTAAAAATATGTTTGGAGAAAACGTCATTATCATTTTACAATCTTAACGTTTTGGTTCTGAAACACACACCCGGAAATACGACATAAATTCAGTGTCCTGGTTTTGTTTCTGAAACATACACGTAAATTGTCGACTTTTAAAGGAAAAAATTATCTAAAATCATAATTTTCGACCAAGTGCGGGTAAACGGCGAGAGTAGTTATGAGTTTATGAGTAAACTGGGGAGTGCCGGGTTCCCAAGCAAGTACATATGTAAAGTAGAAATTTCTTCTGTTTGTCTGCTTGACCGATTTTCCTCAAATATGGAGTGGGAGCTTGTTCAAAGAAACGAAGTTGGTTGGGTTGACGTTTAAAGAGAAAGTATACTTTCCGGACAAAGCTCGTGTTTACATAAATTGTTGTAATTAGTGTAAAATGACAAATGCTGGTTAGATTTTAATTTCTTTGGCAAAATTACGGTTTTTAGTCTAGATGTGATAATATATGTAGATTATAACCTACGTCATTAAGGTGCTTAGACACTAAAACAATAGCAAAACAGGAATCAATGAAGAAGTTTTCTTGAATTAAAGTTTAATACTTAAGCATTATGGGAAATTATGGTTCTCAGATAAAATTTATAGACATTTTGAAATATAGCGCTTTGGGATTATTATTGTACATTGCAGTGTCCCATAAATAGTTTTGCAAGATAGTTTTATCAATGTTTTTCATCCTAAACTACTCGCAGTATCGAAAACAAGTTGAGAAAAGAGGGGACTTCCAAAGAATTTAATTTTCCTTTGAAATGTCAGTCATGAAATTTAGTTAAACTAATTTTAATCACGCAACCTATTTAAGGGATTTTTTTTGGGGGGAGGGGGAGGTGGGGTAAACTTAGGTGCTATCAATTATTCAAGAGATGGCTCTAATTCCTCTAATTATAAACATTCAATGTTCCTTGAATGGTTTTAAAGTTTAAACTCAAAAATCTGAAAAATAGTAATAAATTTTTCTAAAATGTACTGTACGTAGTTTTTTAACATCCTAGATTAATAGATTACCCTTAACTTTTTTATTTTTATCGGAATATATAAAACAAATTTGACTTTGGAAATAAAAAATTTGTACATTGGGTTTATAAAGTAAGACATAATCTAGCTATTGATTATTTCCATATAAGAATTTGAGTTTAGACTTTATAAAGGCCTTTGAATTTTGGAACGTACATACATACATACATACGTATACATACATCCATATGTAAAATTCCGCCTCACTGCATTATATAAAAAATTAGCTGAAGGGCCCGGCGTTGCCCGTGGATTTTTTTTTGTTTTGAATATTTAAAAATTTTAAAAACACCTCCCGGCCACCCCTGATTGTCCACAAAAAATTTCAGCCCAATCTGCCGGCTATATGCAACATATATATATACGAATGTCTTGTTTTATTATATAGATGTATATTAGTTTAAAAACATCATTTATTAAATTGAGTGTGAAACTATGGAGGACATTTTTGATAAAAATGATTAAATTTTTCAAATTTTAAAGTTTTCTTTAAGAATATCTTACTTGGAACACCGAATTCTGAAACGTGTTAAAATTAGAAGCAAATAAACGGGTTCTAAAAATTATTTGTCAAAGTATCAAAAAAAATAGTTTTTAGCCTTAAATCAAGCGGTTTCAGACGCATCCTGTGATACAAACATATTTTAAAGAAATTGAAAAAGGAAATGCGTTTTCGCCACAAACTCAAAATTATAATCCCTATATCTGTGCAACCCGATGTCACAGGTCTTTGATATTTCAAACTATGAATTCTGACAGTCCAAAAAGCCTAAGTTTAAAATTTCAAAGGTTTACATCATCAGGTTTCAAAGAAATAGAGATTAGAAAACTTGAGTTTGTTGCAAAAACTTAATTCCTTTACTTCTCTTATGTTATTTTTTTATTCGCCAATTAATGAATAAGTTTGGGGTTTCAATGCTTTTCTTCAATAAATATTGCTTCTAATTTGCTACTGTATAGTTTTTGTCTGGAGCAACAAGGATTTGTCATTTTCGATGAACTTCAGTCTAAATCAAATCTTAATTTTTCTATCCAGTTAACAACATCCTAAATATTTCAGGTTTCCTGGATCCGTAAATCTGGACACTCTATGGATCTTCTGACTACTGAGAGATTGATATTTGCAGCAGACGCCAGGTCTATTAAGTCTCACAAATAGAATTTAAAGAAATAATAGTTGCTGATATCATTAGAATTACAGGTTAAAACTCTCTTAAATATTTATGTACATAAATATTCGTCAAAAGAAGATTAGGAATTTTAATACTAATAATAATACTAAATAGATTTAATATTCAAAACTCTCCAATTTGTTCTGTTCAGGTATTCAGTTGTATATTTTCCTCCGGATACCTGGAGACTTGTGATTAGATCAGCTCAGGAGAAGGATTCCGCATCATATATATGCCAGGTATTTAGCAGACCTAGATACAGTTTAACTCTTGTATCCAGGTATATAACAGACCTAGATACAGTTTAACTCTTGTATCCAGGTATATAGCAGACCTAGATACAGTTTAACTCTTGTATCCAGGTATATATCAGACCTAGATACAGTTTAACTCTTGTATCAAGGTATACAGCAGACCTAGATACAGTTTAACTCTTGTATCCAGGTATACAGCAGACCTAGATACAGTTTAACTCTTGTATCCAGGGATACAGCAGACCTAGATACAGTTTAACTCTTGTATCCAGGGATACAGCAGACCTAGATACAGTTTAACTCTTGTATCCAGGTATACAGCAGGCCTAGATACAGTTTAACTCTTGTATCCAGGTATACAGCAGACCTAGATACAGTTAAACTCTTGTATCCAGGGATACAGCAGACCTAGATACAGTTTAACTCTTGTATCCAGGTATACAGCAGACCTAGATACATTTTAACTCTTGTATCCAGGTATATAGCAGACCAGGATACAGTTTAACTATTGTATCCAGGTATACATATAGCAGACCAGGATACAGTTTAACTCTTGTATCCAGGTATACTGGATACATGGACACAATTTAACTCTTGTATCCAGGTATACAGCAGACCTGGAGACAGTTTAACTCTTGAATCCAATTCCAGGTATGCATAGGATACATGGATATAGTTTAACTCTTGTATCCAGGTATACCAGATGCATGGATAAAAGGGTTAAATATTGTATTAGAGGTCGGAAATAATGAATTTTTTGAACTGGGTAGGAAAAGTTAAACTACTCATCTACAGCAGACCAAACACACTCCACTAGACAGAAGAAGAGTTCAAGCAACAAACTCAAATTTTTAATTTTAAAATTTAAATTGTTTGATCTAAAAGAATTCATATTTTGAAATATCTAAGGTCTGGAAAATTGGATGGCAACGGTATAGAAATTAATAAATCAGAGTTTTGACAAAGACTCCATTTCTTTCACAATATTTTTCGATCCACTGCACCGTGCTACATATTACATATTCCCCCGGCCTTGTGGATCTGATGTACAGATGATGGATTGATAAATGATGGATGAAAGAATAAAGAATGAAGATTGGTTGAAAAGAGGAAATTAACAATGTTATTTCAGGTGAACACTCATCCTCCATCTTTTATCCTTGTCAAGCTGCTTGTCATCGGTAGGTTTAAAGTTTATATTTGATGTTTCATATAGAGCGATTCATCCTCCTGAGGCCGAATTTAAAGAATTTGAGCCGCGTCTAAAATTTAAGACACGGCTCAAAGATGGTTTATTCCACTTAAAAATGGTATTCAGTGTTTCGAGATATGAGCCGGCGCTCAATTGGAACCGGCTTTTGACGGTTCAGCGACAAGGTTTAAATTCTTTAAATTCCACCTCTGGTCATATATTTAAGTTAATTCAAAAGCGACTCCCCCCCCCCTCCTATGGTAAAATCGTTCTTATTATAGATGCATCTATTTCTCTTTAAAAAAATATATTTTAACAATATTTAGACAAATTATTACATCTATTATACCATCTAATTATTTTATAAAATATTTTTAAAGGGGGTGTTCACGAAAAATAAAAGGGGGTATAGGCTTAATCTTACTTATATATCTGTTGCGTCTACAAGGGGAAAATTGTCAAAAACGACTCATACCGAAGAACGTAGCGTACATACAAAATCAGAAAGTTGCAATATTCAACTCGGATCGTAAAAAATCAATTTAATTCAAAAAAATCATTCAGATATTACAACCTAAATCATCGATTATTTTTCGACGCATTCATATATAGTTAATAATTCATAATATTTTTTATTTGTTTTTTATTTGATTTAAACTACGACTTCATTTAAATTGCATCATATAAGTAGATTGTGAGGGAGGCAGAAAGAGAGGGTCAGAAATACTATTATTGAAATTCCAATTTCTTAGGCATAGCTTTAGTTAAAAAATGTTCTTTTTAGTCCCGTCTTTGCTGACCGTGGACGATATGGGTGAAGCAGTTACGGAGAAATATTTTAAACCCGGTGGAACGATTATACTCCGATGTCTGGTTTCCAACTATAGGGAGGATTTCTCCCTACCTATCTGGTCCAGGAAGGGTGTACAGATTATTGATGATAAAAAAGAAAGAAGGTAAATTATATAATTTATTCTTTCATTTTCCATTTCAAGGAAACAGTTTTTCTGGTTTCATATGGCATCATGTCATTGCATTTACGCCATTTATTTAAAATATTTCAAAAAGTATCCATACACAAACCATAATTGGCGTACGTCTTACATTGAATACAGTATACCAGCATAACTTTAAATAAAAACCCCTCTGAGTCTTCCATTTTAAAGTTGTTGTTATATTAATGGGACAGCTTATCTGATTTATATATTCAGTCATACTAAACTGAACATGCATCATTTCAAATTTGATAAATCGTACAAAGCTCATATTTGACAGAAGTAGATACATCGAGATTTTAAGTTAGTGCACAGTGGTCCACAAGTTGGAAAAACACCAAAATTCCAGAACTCTTAAAAACCATTTTTAATTGCATAGTGCATTTCTCTACAATATTCCAGCGCTAAATCTAAATTTTTGAAGAAGAAAATTTCTTTGATACTCCAGTTATGAGGATTAGTGAAAATGTTAAGAATTTTTATTCATTTTATCTATTTCTATAAAAACTAAAGTTAAACAAATTGAAGTTGTCTTAATTGATCCAATAGTGCAATACAATTGATCTAATCATCTTTGAATAACAAAGCTTATCGACCGTCTGTCTTTGGATTGGATTGGGTTAGTTGAGTGATAATATGAGAATAGGAAGGATAATATTGTGAATATCTAGGATATACAGTTTAACNGGGAAGGATAATATTGTGAATATCTAGGATAAAGTATGAGTATGGGAAGAATAATATTGTGAATATCTAGGATAAAGTATGAGTATGGAAGAATAATATTGTAAATATCTAGGATAAAGTATGAGTACGGGAAGGACGGATCCCTGGAGCTAAGGTTGTATCTGGTTGGAGCTGGAGTAGAGGATACAGGAGAGTATACCTGTACTATTCCAGGGATAGGAGTAAAACCTGCTCTTCTCACTCTCTATATTACTCAAGGTAGGAGAACAATCAACACTAGGAGTTACTCTTATTCCGGAGTTTATATTTCCACAGTTTCAACTTCAGGAATTTTTCATTGCGGAGTTTATATTTCCGCAGTTTTTAGTTCAGGAATTTTCATTCCGGAGTTTATATTTCCGCAGTTTCTAGTTCAGGAATTTTTCATTCCGGAGTTTATATTTCTGCAGTTTCTAGTTCAGGAATTTTTCATTCCGGAGTTTATATTTCTGCAGTTTCTAGTTCAGGAATTTTTCATTCCGGAGTTTATATTTCCGCAGTTCCTAGTTCAGGATTTTTTCATTCCGGAGTTTGTATTTCCGCAGTTTCTAGTTCAGTAGTTTGTCATGGGAACATGTTTGGTATATTTTCAAATTCCTGAAAAGTCCTTTAATTGACATTTCAGTGTCAAGATTTCATAATCTTGAAAAATAAGAATTTATAAATATTTAATGAAAAAAATAATGTCGAAATTATCTCAAAAAAATTATATATTCTTATTTGCGACATTTGAAAATACATTATAGAGAAAGAATATGAACATAATTTTGAAAAAGCATAAATATCATAATTTTACATTGTCTACAGTCTCCACATTTCCTAAAAAATATTCTCTTTTTTAGTGAATTATCACAAAAAGTTTTTCTTTGCTGGACTCGAAAAGGATAATGTTGGGTTAGGACACTTGACTGGGTTCTACTAACTATATGTACTTGCGTAAGGACAGGAGATTACGGGGCTCATGGCGGCAGGCCCCCCCCCCTTCCTTGCTCAAGGGTGCATGACTCTTTAAAGTTAATTCGGTCTAGAAAATTGATTTCTGCGCCTATTCGTGTATTCATTTGTGTAAAAATGATCAAAGATATTCTATTCTAAAGTCGATGAGCAACCCTCACCTAAACTTTCGGTCAGTGTACTGCAGTGATTTGCAGTACACTAACCGAAGAAATAGTGGGGTTTGTGGAGAGTGGAGCCTTTATTTTCGTCTGTATTTTCAACAGTGAAAATAGATTTGTTGTCCTTTCTAATTTTGAATGGGGTTGTGGGTTTTTTAGTATTTATATGCAGTCCCCTTGATTTTAAATAATATATTGAAATGTGATTTGTTCTTATTTAGCCTGGACATACTAAGCTCTTGTTAGTTTGGCGTGAACCGGACATGCTAAGCTCTTGTTAGTTTGGCATGAACCGGACATACTAAGCTCTTGTTAGTTTGGCATGAACCGGACATACTAAGCTCTTGTTAGTTTGGCATGAACCGGACATGCCAAGCTCTTGTTAGCTTGGGGTGAACCGGACATACTAAGCTCTTGTTAGTTTGGCGTGAACCGGACATACTAAGCTCTTGTTAGTTTGGCGTGAACCAGACATACCAAGCTCTTGTTAGTTTGGCATGAACCGGGCATACTAAGCTCTTGTTAGTTTGGCATGAACCGGACTTACTAAACTCTTGTTAGTTTGGCATGAACCGGACATGCCAAGCTCTTGTTAGTTTGGCATGAACCGGACATGCCAAGCTCTTGTTAGTTTGGCATGAACCGGACATACTAAGCTTTTGTTAGTTTGGCATCAACCGGACATACTAAGTTCTCTTGTTAGTTTGGCATGAACCAGACATACCAAGCTCTTGTTAGTTTGGCATGAACCGGACATACTAAGCTCTTGTTAGTTTGGCATGAACCGGACATACTAAGCTTTTGTAAGTTTGGCATTAACCGGACATATTAAGCTCTTTTTAGTTTGGCAGGACATACTAAGCTTTTGTAAGTTTGGCATTAACCGGACATATTAAGCTCTTTTTAGTTTGACATGAACCGGACATACTAACCTCTTGTTAGTTTGGCGTAAACCGAACATACTAAGCTCTTGTTAGTTTTGCGTAAACCATACATACTAAGCTCTTGTTAGTTTGGCATGAACCGGTCATACTAACCTCTTGTTAGTTTGGCATGAACCGGACATACTAACCTCTTGTTAGTTTGGCGTAAACCGGACATACTAACCTCTTGTTAGTTTGGCGTAAACCGGAAATATTAACCTCTTGTTAGTTTAGCGTAAACCGGACATACTAAGCTATTGTTAGTTTAGCGTAAACCGGACAGCTTGTATTGTATATATAACAGAATTATCAACTAAACATTACACTAAATTTAGAACTTGTCACGAAATTTAAGTTCCTAGGAATATTTTAATAGAATAAATTAATCTAGTTCTTTTTTTAAATTTCTTTTAATAATTCATGATTTTATTCTTTTTAAAAAAGTTCCCCTTCCTTCAAAATATGAAGTTGTGCAGTAAGCACCATGAAATAATGATTTTATTTTGATCGACAAATACTTCAAAAGTTCATCAAGTTCAAATTTAGAGTAATAGTACTGGAACCAAAGTATTGTAAACTACAGGTAGAGAGGATAGGGATTATGTACATTTTACTGTGTTGTATTTTGACTGTTCAGGAACTGGTTTAAGGTATATGAACAACGGTTTGTAATCCTTCCTACCCTCACAAGAAAGCCATATTTTTTTTAAATCTTCTGGACTTTCATACTAATCAAACTTGTTTTGTTTCAGGAGAAGAAACTGCAGCTATCCAATCCAACCCTGGTAGTTCTCTATACCCGGAGATAAATCTAATTATTCTAACCATCCTTGCATACAAAACCATCACACACTTCCTCTAAACCTTTCCATGGACAACATAGTTAAAATGTTATAACAATGTTTTTAAATGTAATCTCTAAAACATGTCTAATGAAGCTGGTGAAAACTGATATCGATGTTACGGAACACAAAGTTTATATTTAGAAAATACATTTGCTTTTCTAAATACAAGTTTCCGATACCTTTCTTAAAACAGATAAATCCTCTCTGACAGGAAGTTTAAGCACAAGTTTAGCTTCAGATTAATCCCTCAGAATAGAAGATTCTACAGCTATGTTCTTTTTATAGTTTCTAATGTATAAAGTATGATTGTCTATATGTTATAAAATAAGTATTTTAAAAAAAAGCTCAAGCTGAAGCACAATACATTTTTTGTCCTAAAAGTCATAAATAAAGACTGTTTTTATTAGTTTGAATTTTTTTCTCCTATAGTTATTTTGGGAGTAAACTACATAGATCCGGAATGAAAATAGGATTCGGAGGATCCCGCAGGAGTTACATCTGGGATTCCAAAGTAAAAAAAGGTTCCAAAGAGGGTAAAGTAAATTGAAACGTTCCAAAGAAAACATGGTTCCTAAAATAAAATAGAATTCTGAAGTTATCTCTGGGCTTCCAAATTAAAAGAACGGGTTTTAAGAGTCTTAAATAAGTTGAAGCGTTCAAAAAAAAACCTACAGAGGTTTCAGAAAATGTTTTGGAAAGGATTTTAGAGTCTATAAAAACATCTAAGAAAAAAATAAATAAAAAAAATCAATTACTGGATTCCGCAAATTCCACTTTGATTGATTGATTTTTATTTACTCTCCTGGACACAAACTATAAAAGATTAAAATAATCCTGAGATAAACAAAAAGAGGAGAACAATTCTAAAGCTTCCAGCTATGGGTAGATCTCGCTAAAGTTATGAATGTGAGAAACGCAGTTACTTGAAATCAAGGAAAGATACTTTTTACTTATATTTTGTTTACAAAATCAGAGTATACTGCAGTTTCAGGGAGGAACATAAACCAAACACAAGTTTCTCTAGTTTCTCGAAAGTACATTTTTTACCATAATATTTTTGAGCTTTCACTTCTACAACGAGTTTTCTGAACTAAACTGTGTGAATCTCAAGATGGGTGTGTATGTGTGTATATAAGGAGTAAGGATGAGTGAGGAGCAGGATTCTATGGTATAACTAGATTACATGGACGGAGACGATTTTTCTCTGCTCCGTCCCGTGTAGAGTTCTCCGGTCTGTCACAGCAGCACAACTCATTTTTCCAGCAACAGCAGGGGTCCGCAATATATATATTAATATATCTGTATCTATATAAATGTATATAGANGCACGCTATATAAATATATATATTTGCCGTGTCAGTTCGGTTGGATCCAAAAAACGTTGAAACGGCTGAACCTATCGGGATATTTTTTGGGACGTCACATCATGACCATTTGAGGTTTATTGCCGGTCCGAATAAAAACAGTACTCAATAAAAACTCTTAAGACTTTAATGAGAATTTCTTGTACAATCCTTCAAATATATCCCAAAACTCCTCGTATTGAAGATCTATTGAGAAAAAACAAAAATATTTTGAATTTCTTAGAATTAGCCGGATAAAGAAGTTATTTTAATGCTTGCGTAAAATCAAACCTTTCGACAAGTTGACAAAGTCGTAAAATAATTTTTTATTATTTGACATGTGGCAACTTCAGAAGATTTTCATAAAAACTTGACAAATTCAAGACTCCTCCCTTACGGTGGTAGGCGATACTATCAATATAATCAAGACGACTTTTATACTTTAGTTTTCATTGGTTTTTTTTCAAATGATAATTTACATGTAAATAAAGAGAAGATTTTTTAATTGACAGCTCCTCTTTATATCAATTATTTGTGAATTCATGCTGTTTAAAATGTTAATACAAATCAAAATTAAAATCGAAAGTCGTCTTCATTGTATTAATATAATCGCCTACCACCGTACTAAAACAAACGCGTAAATGTATTATCAGGATTTGCACTGCAAAAAAAACTATTAAAAAAACTATTTATTTAATTTTTGATGAATATACAGACGTTTGTTTCAAATTAAAAAGTTGATGACAGAAGACTGTTACGGTGGACTAGGGTCAATTTGAATTCGAGCCGGACCGACCCCTTGTACCGGCCTTAGTAACGCGCGGCAAGTACTGGCCCGACTCATTCTCATTCTCAACTTTGAAGGCGCGGCCAGACTTTTTACAGTACCCGGCCTATCATAAGCTTAACATTTGACCTACTCGCTTAGTTTAGTGAGCTGTGAAATAAGTCGTGAATAGGAAAAATTACTGAAAGTTAAATACAATTGTTGGTAATGTAGAATTGTAGAAGTTCAGAATATAAATATGTTTTTTTTTCATCATATATTACTCTGCTGAGTAGAATTAAGATTACAATCAAGAAAACTGCTGTTAATGGCCGGTTTCTTAAAATCACATTTATAATCCATTTTAATGCATATTCCATGGATCTAATTATCTGAGGCATTTGTTTCTCTAGCTTCGATAGTTTGTATTGCAAGAAATTATGCAGTCTTCGGTTAACAATTATGCATAATGCTTATATCAGCTACAGGCAGGAAGTCCAGTACACTAATGTGTACTGGGCACTGTTCATTAAAGTCTGATTGTAAGGGCCTCAAAATAATCATAAATACTTGGGACATAAAATGTCGTCATTCAACTACGAGTTTGGCCCATTTTAATATTTATTCACTTAGCATGTAACCCCCCTCTGTACCCTTAAAACCATATATCATTCCCCCCCTCCTACAAAACAAGATGAATTTTAAAATCATTTTTTTTTTATTTTGAAAACATACGTCGGAATTGAAATGCAATCAATTTTAGAACTTCAAAGAAATTGTCAATAACTCAGAACTTCAATATCTTCCGCTGAGCCCTAGAATAATTCATTATTTTCTCCTCAATTTTATAATTTAAAAAAGGCTTTTATCACTTCAAATTAAAATGAGTTTTTACAACAAAATCTAACTTTTCAATCCCAAATTCCTTGCAAAACGATGTCGTTGGAGACATATCTTATGTTAACACCAGCAGGTTGCAAAGATATAGATAGTTTGAGTTTGTGTCAAAAACTCAGTTAATTTCACATTAGACTAAAAAAATGTTGTTATTGTTTGATCGTAGAGAAACATATTGAACTAGAATATGGGCACAAAGCGCCCTGATAGTCTACTTGTTTATAAACATTAACCAAACTATTTCAGAACACTTTACAAATACAATTCACAAGGGTGGATGCAACTTTTATAGTAAAACAGAAAAAAGTTCAAAAATGATTCGGACACAATTATCTCCTGCATGAAGAGAGTAAATCTACTGCAGGTAAACGTCTAATCTAAGTGTCCACCTTCCATCTGAATGTTCTATACAAACCTTGTTAGATGCATTAACCCTGGTTTCTAAAACATAACGGGTTCAAGAACAAGAACTAGAAAGGTTTACAGAGATACGACAAGAAACTTATTCACAGTGTTCTAAACCTTCAAGAAACCACTTTCTGTAACATCTCCTTTATTCTTTTCATGTTTTGGGTTAAAACTAAAGGGACTGATCAAGGGTTACTTATCGAGTGATGTCGAGATTAAATTTCCGAGGCTTATATGTCCCAAATTAGAAGCTTACTTGGTCAAAAGATGGTAGAATATAAAAGAAAACTTTTGTGAACTTATGATAAGTTTGACAAATGATGATTTAAAAATTTATTTAAAAATTTGTTAATTCATGAATGTTTTTGGAAAATTGGAATATATAGTTAATAATTAATAATATTTTTTATTTG